ATTTACCTCCCTCTGTGACCCTTGGAAACATTAAGGTTGTGAAGGGACACTTGTCTCTTCGACCCCTATTAGAATGCAAGCAGTTTCATCATTGTTCAGCACCTTTTCGTTGCTCAGCTGTATTTACCTTTCTAGGTTTCTCTTGACTCCTGTGTTTGCATTTCACAGTATCTATTCAGCTCTGGTCTTTTTCATCAGGAATGCTTGAAAGTCCTCTAATCCATTAAAGATCCACTTTTCTCCCCTGTAGGATTATTTTCAGTATTGCAGGGTAAGTTATTCTTGGTTGTAAATCTTTATCTTTTGCCTTTTTGGAATAGCATATTCTGAAATTTTCTCACAGTTATAATAGTTGCTTTTAAGTATTTATATGATCCTGACTCTGATCCCTTGATACTTGAACTCTTTCTTTTTGGATACTTGCAATATTTTTATTCTTTGCCCTGAAAGCTCCGGATTTTGGTATTTTCAGTTTGGGATTACTTCCTGAAGGTGCCTGGTAGAGTCTTTCTTTTTGCACTTTGCCCCCTGATTCTGATACATCTGGGCAGTTTTCATTTGTGATTTAGTGAAATGTGGTATCCAGGTTTTTTATTTGTTTATAATTTTTGAGGAGTCTAATAGTTCATAAATTATTTGTACTTGACCTATTTCCTAGGTCAGTTGTGTTTGATAAAATATACCTTATATTTCTTCTTTCTTTTTCAGTCTTTTGATTTTGTTTGAACATTTATTGTTGTCTCTTAAAATCACTGAGTTCTCTTTGTTCCCTTTATGATTTTTAAGAAATTTGTCACTTAGATAAGGTTTGCCGTCTTCTATTGAAATCTGTTTATCCTTTTAATACTTTCTTGGAGGGCTCTTAATTCACTTTTACAGTTTCATTTTTTTTTTTACCTCTTGTTTCATTTCTTCTCAGTAATCTTACATTTCTTGTGGCCAAGCCATTTTTCTTTCTGTGGCTAAGCTTGAAGTAGTTGTGAGGTTACTCTATTTTTAGTGTACTTTACCTCTTTCTTTGCTAATTTCTTTATACCGTTCAATATTTTTTTTCTATTTACTCATCTTCATTTTCAGTTCCTGATTTGAGACTTGGTGTCAAGGCTAAACTCCATCCCTTCCCATACTGTTAAATTGAAGTATTCAGCCTGTTTGGCCCTTACCTCAATTACCTGGTTTCATGCCACTGACTTCCACCTCCCCTGGTATTTCTATACTCAGAGTGCTGGTGGATTTCAAGCTTCCTGGTATTGTCTGAATTCAGAGTGTTGTGACCTTCAGGACCCCCTGTAACATTCCAGTCAGTTTGATATGGACTTCTGCGTGAACATCTCAGAGCACTGCCTTCCCCTTTTGTCTCCTGTCAGAGTGGTCAGAGCTTCAGGTTTCTGACCCGCTGGGATTTCTCTGTCCAATTCTAGACTTCCTGCCCTCCCCTGTACAGAATACTGCCATCTTTAGTACTCTCTGGAGCATCTTAAGTCAGATTGCTACAGACTTCTGGCTCCCTTGGACTGTCTTGGTCAGAAGGCTGCTAATCCCCACATTTCCATACCGAATGCTGCAGGTTTCCAAGTTGCCTGGGCTTCTCTTTCTCCTCACTCCAGGCTTTCTAATACCCTTGGAGTATTACTGGTCCAAACACTGACAGGCTTCCAGTTTGTTTACTTGGGCTCACATTGATTTTCCTTGGTTCTTTTTGTGTAGTCCTGACCTGAGTAAAGGTGGTGTTTAGATTTTTTTTAATCATTATTTGGTTGATTGTACTTTTAGATATTTGCAGGAATACACATGGGAGAAATAGGCTTGTCCTACCATCCTAACCAGAAGTCTTGATTCTAGTAGTCTTAGGACTCAATCAAAATTCCTTCTGAAGTAGCCTTCAATTTTCACATCAACATGTCTTTTTATTGCTCTTCACTTTTTCTCCAGCTATCTTCTCCTACACACCTGTCTTAGACCTTATTTCTCTCTTTATCCAAATAAAGAACTTTACATTTGTCCCTGTTTTATTTCATCTTACCAGATTTGGCTCATAGTTTAATGTAGTAACATTTTTTTGAATCTTGACCATTACTCAGCAAGTTAGCCCTCCCTCCCAGTCTCTATCAAGTTCTGCCACTTTGACAAGCAGACCTTCTCTTACTTCATCCAAGCCATTGGTATATACTCTGTCAAGGACGGGTCCTTCAGACACTTCACTAGAGAGAACACTACAATTTGCCACTGACCTGTTAATGACTCCTCTTTGGGTCTGGTCATCCAACCAAGTCCAAATGTGCCAAATTATACTATCATCTAACACACTTCTCTCTACCGTGGCTCCAAGTATACCATGAGAGGCTTTGTCAAATGTGTTGCTAAAATCTAAGTATACTATTTCTAAACATTTGACTATTATACTGTTTACCTTGTTAGATAAGGAGATGACTTTTCCTTGAAACCATGCTGGGTTTTAGTGATCCCTGAGCAAGGGTCAGATTGTTCTGACCTTCTTTGCTCCTCCTCTGACTTTCAAAATAGTTTTAAAAAGAAAACTTTGACAAGAATTCAGCTTCAGCACTTTTGGCCCTATTCTTACAGGACAATGTCACTCTGTGCTTAATAAACATTTGGTGAATTAAATCCTGTTACCTGCCTTTCTTCTCCTACATGTGCTTTAAGTCATTGCTCTTCTTTTTTACTTGGTTGGAATCATTTTTGCTTTTGTTCTCACTGTTTCATTCTTCCCATTGCTCTTTAATTTGACTTTACCAGAAGGATATTAGTGTATCCTATCAATTATTTCTCTGAATCTTTTGAAATCTCTTCCAAAATCTAACATACACATAGCTGTGCCTGACTTTTCCTTTCTTTCAGTAATGAATTTAGTCACCAGCTCCGAAGATTATCTTTTTGTTTCTTTCTTTTTTTTTTTAGTCTTAGCTGTCTTTCTCCTTGTTGGTCAGAATTAGGTACAAAATCCAGTTTCCTTTTATCTTTTTTGGATGAAATTAATAATAAGGTAAGTCACAATTTTAAAAGTTTATTTGCTTTTGGAAGAGAGCAAGATCCAGAAGGGGATCTGGATTATTGAAGTTCCCCATCACTACTATATCATACCTCCAGTTTAGGTTTGTAAACTATTTTTCCATATTCCCCATCTAATTCTTTTAAGTAGATGGTCAATAGTATACTTCCATGAGAACATCACTTCTGTTTCTTCCCCCGTTTTTCCATGTCCAGCCCACCAAATCTCATTGATAGCATAAGAAGATGAATTTGCTTCCTTGTAGTAAGGCTCTCTGTTCATCTTTATTATTGTTCATACTTTGTGCATGTATATATAGATATCTGGTCCAAGAGTTAATTACCAGAGCTCTTCTTGAATCTTTTTCCTGAGAATTACTGATTCTTTCTGCCACTATTTTAATTCCTTTGTTGTACCTGCTACTAATAATCTATGGTATGAAATTCAAAAGATCTCTGTAGGCATTTTTCTTTCTTTTCAGTGTGGAACCTTTATAGTCACATCCTCAAGCATCCAGGCAAGTGTTTTGTTTTGGCATTATTAGACATAACTCCATCCCTAGTCAGTGGCTCCTCATACCTATATTTTAAGCCATCACCAAGAAATCTGAGCCCCATTCTTTAATACCCTTTTTTAAAAACAAGTAATTCACTTCCAAATTTTTCTTTCTTTTATGAATCTTCCACTCAGTCAGCTGTAGTGAAGACAGAAGTACTTCTTATTCCTCCAAAGACCTCAAGTTTTTGCCTATGACCTCATTTATAATCTTTTGTGGTGCCCTTTCTCCTCCAGAATAAGACAGCTTTGCACTTTGTGCATATATCAATATTAATTAGTTTTAATACAAACATAAATAAGCAGGTAACCCAAAATTCTCATTGCCTTCCACATTTGCTTGAAGCCAGATCCTCAGGCTTTTGCTTTTTTGTTTTTGGTAATTCTTCTAGCTAATCCTTGTGGCAAACTGCCTGTTGTGCCCCTGCAATGCTTTAGAGGCCCAAGCAGTAGGAGATTCTAGATGTTTAATTTATACAGAATATTATTTCCACAATTTGTCATGATAGGATACTATCTGCTCAGCAAGCAATAATCCAATTATCTAATTATATACCCCACACACACCTTTTTATCTCTCTGTATCTCCAGATTTCTAGCTTCAAAGTTTGCTTGATACCCTAGGCTTTTCTAGCCCAGTGACTCAGACTTCTATTTCACTCTTTCCTGGCCATCTCATGCCGTGCCACCAAATTCATGCTTTTCTCTTCACCCTTCCTTACTTCCCATTGCTTGCTCTGAAAACAATGATCAAATCAATGTGACAGTCCCTGGAAAGGACAAATTAAGTCACTCTGTGACTTCCTGATCAAAACACCTCTTCCTGCCCATATGTGTGTAGTTGTCTTTCTCTATTAGAATATAAACTCCTTGAGGGCAGAAATGTCTTTTTGGTTTACTTGTATCCTCTGTGCTTAGCATAGTGCCTAGTAAATAGGAAGTACTTAATACTTTACAATCATTAATTCGTTTCTTTATACTTCCATAGCTGTTTGGCTCTTTGTCCCCATTTGGGACAGAGAATACTGACTGCCTTAGGAGCAGAAGAGGATATCAGGGACTAAAAATCTCAGGGAATTGGAACTCAAGGAAGGCTGATGATGTGAGAAGAGAGAGAAGGGTGTTATGCTATGAGGGACATTGGAGTGAAGTCAAGAGTAATGGTCAGAGAAAAAATGTGATCCTCATGCATTGTATGCTTATAAAATGATTACTCTGAACTACCATTCAGAAGGGTATTAGAAACCAAATAATCTCACTTTCAAAGTAAAATTTCCCTGGAATATTCTAGTTCTGGTGCCAGATTTTGACACTTAACTGAAGAATAAAAAATGTGATATGGGAATAAGATGGAGCCTAAATTATTGTATGTTTTTAAAAAACTAGTAAGAAAAAAAAATTTAGTCTAAATATTCTGTTTCACTTTCATCATTAGGTGTGCTATGTTGACTATGGTTTCAGTGAGATTATAGAAAAGACCAAAGCATACAAACTAAACCCAAGATTCTGTTTGCTCTCCTTCCAAGCAACAAAATGTAAATTAGCAGGTAAGCAAACTTTTAAAGGTAATAAAAATGCAATGTACTTAAAGGCACCATGTGTAAAACAATATCAATGCATTCCTTCCCAATTACACAGAGGAATAAATAGCAAAACTAAAATAGTTGGGGACCTCAATATGCCCCCTGTCTTAGATAAGTCTAACAAAAATATAACTAATAAAGGAGTTAGGGAAGTGAATAGAATTTTAGAATAGTTATGACATTTCTTGCAATTACTGAATGGGAACAGAAAAGAGTATTCATATTTCCCAGATACATATGGCACCTTTTTAAAAACAAGAATACCACCTTTATTTCATTGAAAAGTAATTAAATCTTTTCATACAGTATCAAAAAGCTCATATAACGTTGGAAAGTGGGTGCACTTCCATCTGGGCTGGTGGTCTCTTGGATGATTCTCAGCTGAGATTTCTGTACCATCATCTTGAGATTCTAGTATGTCTCTGAAAGCACAGTTGGCTTTAAAGTAGTGGAAATTAAAAGATATGTGTCATGCAGGCCAGTGACTACTGGCTGAACATACTGAGTGGCACTACTAATAAGTTCTCACAGCTTTTTTTAGTTTATAACACTTTTTTTAGAGACACTTTCAAACATTGTATTTTTATCCATTTGTGGGCACACTTTCCATGGTTGTGTATTATCCTTGTTAAAGGAATACCTGTTAGCCAGCCTAGTGGTAAAGCCCAAAGTTGGGGGCAGGAGTTATCATTAGGAATGCTTAAAACAATATTATTAGTTGAGTATACATTGACTCATAGAAACATTGCATTTAGAGCTAGAAGAGAACTTTGAGATTGTCTGGTCCAAGTGTCTCATTTTGTAGATTAGAAAACAGGTTCAGAGAGAGGGGAAGGTGATTTGCCCAAGGTCACTTTTATACTAAGTAGCAGAATCAGAATTAAAATCCATGTTCTCTGACATTGTTTGATTTCTTAATAAATGGGAGTCGTTGTACCAAATATGAAGAGAACATTCATTGGTTTGACAAATAAGTTGGAAATAAAGGATATGATTGGTGCAGAGGGATAGAATGGAGGGAAGAAAATGTGACTGACCCCATTGATGATTGTGAAACATTCAACTTACTGGATTCAAGTAGTTATTTGTATTACATCTGATTAAGGAAAAATATCATTCTGCTTTTCTCGATGTGATGTCTCTGCTGATCAAATTTTTCTCTTTGTCCTGGGATTTTTTCTCTGGGTAAACATTATCAAGAGCTTTTACACTGTGGCATATTTTTGTACAACACTTTAATAAGGAATATAGGTAAAAACATATGATACAAATCTATTTAAAATTTAAGAATTTTACACCGAAATAGTCATTGTTAAGCTGGTAAAGAAATGCTGAAAAAGTGTTCAATTGTTTTTCAGGGTTGGAAGTGTTTAATGATGATCCTAGTTTGGTGAAGGTGGTTGAATCTTTAGCTTGTGGGAAGATATTTGCCGTAGAAATCCTGGAAAAAGCTGAGATTCCTCTTGTGGTCTTATATGATACATCAGGAGAGGATGATATCAATATCAATGCCACCTGTCTGAAAGCACTTTGTGACAAAACGCTAGAGGTGCACCTTCAGGTACTCTGATGATTGCCATTGTCATCAGCTATATGAACTGTGTATAATTGAGCAGCATCACATGAGAAAGTTAGGGGTACTTTAAGTAATAACAGGAATTAATTTTTTTGTATTAATTGCAAAATCCCATGAATGTTATGGTTTTTTAGTGTATCACTATTTGGAAGAAGAGGAATATAGTTTATCACTATGATTAAGTTAAACTTTGAATTCAAAAAGAAAATAACCTAAATTTAAGCTTGTTTTGGGGTGTTTGAAAAATAGAATACACTATAAGGGCAGAAAGAGTGCTTGCCAATGCAAATTTTTAAGGATTAATTATTTTGATCATAAATTCTGCTACATTCGGACTCTAAAGTCTGTGTGTCATGTGATCTATAAAGAAGTGGAGATAGCACTTAAAATGCTAAATAATTTCTTAAGATGAAAATTAGAAGAACAACTAGACTAGACCAAAAATATATGTGTGTGTGTGTGTGTGTGTGTATGAACTCATACAGTTTTTATATCTACCTATAGATATAGATAGAGACATAAATACATTCTGAAGGTGACACAATTGATTCTCAAGAGATCTGAAATAGTGAAAGATAAACAACTGACAAAACACACACACAGATAATATTACTACTAAAAAAGTTGTAAGGGCATAGATAACTACTCACCAGATATACCTCCTTTCTCATCTCTGAAGTATGAGAATGGTTTTATACATAGAAAGTATCTAGAAGCATTTAATCTGAGAAGGGGACAAGTAGTCTTTTGCAAACCACATGTGGATCACATCTTCAGAATCACATAATTGAAAGGTACAGTGAACACAGTGAGCTCCTATTGTGTTTATTCTTCATCAGCTGTAAAAAATGTATTTGACTGCTGTGGCATGGTGGGCAGAGCACTGGTCTTAGAATCAGGAAGTTTAGGGTTCAAATTCCCTCTCACAAACTTACCAGCTTTGTGAATCCAGTGCAGGTCATTTAACCTCAGCCTCTTTTCCCTCATCTCTAAAATGGAGATGATAATAATAACCTCTCTTATGAGGTTGTTTTGAGGGTCAGATGAGATTTCATATACATAAAAAGAGAGATAGAGAGTTGTCATTATTATGTCGTATGTGAGTTGTCATTATTACAGCAAATAAGCCTTTGAATCTTATCAAAAAAGATGCAATCTTCAGGGTTTTTTTTTCCACTCCAAAATGAGAACAAAATAAACCAAAAAGGAAAGAAAAAAAAGATTATTATTAACAATAATAAGAAAGAAATGAGATGAAAAAAATGCAACAAAGGGGATAATTCAACAATCCTTTATTAATCTCAAATAAAATGTAAAACATGGAGAAAAATGCTCACCAAATGTGTTTGCCACTGTTAGGGCAGATGTCCAGTGCAGGATACTAATGGAAGAGGGAATTCTTATAAATGTCAGTTTCTCTAGATAATTCCATTTGTTGTCAGCTAAGTAGTACAGTGGGTAGTGTAAGGAAGACTGGAGTTCTCAGGACGCTGGGCAAGTCATTTAATATCATATTAAATTAATTGAATCAAGACCAAGACCACTCTAAACTTCCTTAACAACATCTACAACCTCTTAAAAAAGTTCATAAAGAACATTGGTTGTCCAGATGGAAATGCAGTTAGATGGACAGCCCATTAAGTTAATCTATCAATATGTCTATCTTGGACAGATTTTGCTTGTGCATTGGGACAAAAAATTGAATAAGAAGAAGAAAACCAGCTTCCTTTTGGAAAATGCATAATACTTTCAGTAATCTCAAACTGTTCCCTGAAACAGAAAATCACCTTTTTTCCCCCAAACACTGATATTTTTCAAGTAATGCTATTATGGCTTGAGATCATGGAACACCATGAATCAGAATTGCAGGTGACCCAAAAGGCAGTGAAGATAGTAAAAGACCATTGGCATATCACCAATTATGACTTGAGTGCAAGAAGTAGTACAAAATATCCAGGAAATAGATGATTGAAAAAGGAGGTGTTCCAGTCACGTAGCAAGAGGCAGGCATAACAGATAGCCTGTGTGCTGTATCAGTACCCAGGTGTTATTAAAGGGCATCGGCATTTTGAATTCTTTATGGAAAATATATGGAAAGACATGGATGAAAGTTGTACAGGATTGAAATATGTGGACAGACTCTGATCACAGGTCCTTTGAAATAGAAGGAGTGTAAGTTAAGTATTTTACTCTTTCAATCTGTCAATTCATCTGTAAAGTCTCAGAACATAAAAGAACTAAGTAATACTATCAACCTCATACCTCTTCTGGAAGGCAAATAGATGAAGAAAAAGGAAACAAAAACAAATAATAGTTTCTGGAATACTCTGAGAAAAATGAGGGCAAGAGGATTCTGGGAAGATGACGGAGTAGGTCAGAAAATTCCAAGCTCTCAAGATTTTCCTCCACCAAAGAGACAAAACAGCACCTCAGGGAGCACTAAAAATAAATAAGAGTAGGGGCAGAACTGGGGTCCTCCTGGGATAATTGGAGAAGATCTGAAGAAAAATCTCAGGAAGACGTTTGGTCCCTGTGAAGAGTAAACGCCTCCAGGCGAGGACTTCTTAAACAACAAGAGGCAAGCCCTGGGGTTAGCTGGGTTGGAAGGCTGCCTCAGCCCCAGCCCCAAAAACTTGTACCCTGGGGACAGTGAGGAGAATGGGGCATCTGAGCTGGGGAAGATCAAGGGAACCTCTGCTGACAAGGAACACCAGACCCAGCTGTGCTACAACATGCCCACTAGGGCAGGGATATCACTGGCTGTGGACATTTACAGGAGACTGCAGGTCTTGGTTTAGGTTCCAGGCCAAAGAGGAGAACTGAAGGAGGATCTGAGGCCACAGGCACCATGCCCCATCCCCCAGACTAGAGATGATTATAAAACCTAAGCTATTATACACACACACACACACACACACACACACACACACACACACACACACGAGAGAGAGAGAGAGAGAGAAATGCACAGGCAAAAGAGAAAGAATTCAACCATAGAGATTTACTATGGGAATAGAGAAGACACTGGGTTCATCTTCAGAAGAGGATATTGAAGCAAAAAAACCTTCTTCCACCCCAAGAGCAATGTCAAATGGTCACCTACCCAAAAAGAATTCATAAAAAAACTTAAAAAAGACTTAAAAATCAAATGAGAGAGATTGAGGGAAAAGTTTTTCAAATAATAAAAATAATCCAAGAAAAACAAGAAATTATGAAAAGAAAGCCAACCAATTAGAAAAGGAGGTCTAGAATCTTAAGGAAGAAAATGACTCCTTGAAAATCAGAATTGGGCAAGGGGAAGCCAGCGAAGTTATAAGAGATCAAGAAATAATAAAATAAAATAAAATAAAATATAAAAAATGAAAAAATAGAAAATGTGAAACATCTCATAATAAGAACAACTGATCTAGAGAACAGATCAAGAAGAAAAAAATAAGCATAATCAGATTACCTGAAAGCTATGATCAAAAAAAGAATCTTGATACAATAATATAAGAAATAATTTTTAAAAATTGTCATGAAACATTAGAACAAGAGTCCCCTCTTGTAGAAAGTAGAAATAGAAAAAATCCTCCAATTGCCACCTGAAAGAGATCCTACAAGGAAAACCCACAGGAATATTATAGTCAAATTCCAAAGCCCTTAGTTCAAGGATAAAATATTACAAGCAGTAAGAAAAAAATTTTTACATATAGTGGTGCCACAATTAGAATCACACAATACCTACCAGTGTCAACACTAAAAGACTGCAGGTCTAGGAACACTGTATATCAAAGAACAAAAGAATTGAACTTCCAGCTGAAAATATCATACCCAGAAAAGCTAAGCATAATTCTGAATAAAAACAAATGGATGTTTAATGAATTGTCAGGGGGGGAAAAAAACTTTGTTTAAAAAAAAAAACCTGAATTGAATAGAAGATTTTACATAGAAGAGCCAAGAGAAATGTAAGATATATACCAAAGACCAATTACAAGGGACTCAATAAAGACAGGCTATTTACCTTTTATGTATGTAAAATATAAAACATTTGTCTTAGATTGTTATTAGTAATTGGGTAGTTCATAAGAAAGACTGGGGTAAACCTGAGCATGATATTATTTCAAAAATAAAACTGTTCAGGAACAGCTAAAAAGAGTATTTATAAATATACATACATATATACATATATATATATATATACACATGTATATGTATATATATACACATACATATACATTATATGAGTATATCTTATACAAATGAGGTACGAGTAGAAAAATTGATACAGAGGAATTAGATGAGGGGGAGGGCTGTTAGTTCTGGAAGCCTACTTTCATTGGGAATGGGTTCAAGAGAGAACAATATATATACATATAGAAGAATGTAAAAGCCTTCTAAATTTAGAAAGAAATAAAACACTAGGGGGACAGGGAGGAGAGAGAGGATACGGGAGGGATCATTAGAGGGGAGGGTAAGGGAATAGGTTAAAAGGGTTTATAAAAGGGTGTTTAGATTAATGGGAATGGGAAGATAAGGGAGAGATCTTTGGGGGGGGATGAGGGAATAGGTCAGAGGGGTGTATAGCAGGGTGTTTAGATTTATGGGAAAGGGAGGATGGGGTGGGGCAGGTAGGTTAAATAATAGGAGAACATGGTAGCATGGTGTCGGGTAGAAGCTGAAGAGTCAGGAGGGATAGGAAATTAGATCTAGGCACAAACATAAAAACAAAGATTAGGATTAGAATCTTTTAGGGAAAGTATATGTTTATATATGTATATGTGTATGTATTTATCTCTCTATATAAATATATGCAAACTTAATTGTAGCCTTCGGGGGGGGCAGGTGAAGGGGACAAAAGAACAAAGTAAAAAGTGTACAGCAGAGAACAAAAGAAGACCTACAAGGAAGCAAAGAAAAGATGGACAGCTCAACATAACACATAGTATTTAATATATAGGCTTTCTTGAAATGGAAATTTTTTGTTTATATATTTTGAATCCTCTCTTATGTTCTGCTGTGCACATGACATAGTTTTTTCTTTTCTTACTTTATATTTAAGTTTATAATATATTTCTTTTTCTTATGTATTTAAGTCTAAAATTTTAAAAAAGATTATAAAAGAAAGAGAAAAATGAGGGCAGGGGCAGCTAGGTGGTGCAGTAGATAGAGCACTGGCCCTGGAGTCAGGAGGAACTGAGTTCAAATGTGGCCTCAGCCCCATAACGCTCACTAGCTGTGTGACTCTGGGCAAGTCACTTAACCCCAATTGCCTCACCAGAAAAAAAAAAAGAAAGAAAAAAGAAAAAGAAAAATGAGGGCACATTTAGAAAGCTTGAATTGTACAAATTGGTATGTATCCAATAGATAACATGATATTTAAATTATTTAATATTAAAAATATTCAAGGTTTGTTTTTGTTTCTTACAGGCTGATGCCATGTATACAAGTGTAAAAGTGACCAATATTTGTTCTGATGGAACTCTGTACTGCCAGGTGCCTTGTAAGGGTCTGTCTAAACTCAATGACATTTTGCATAAATTAGAAGACTACTTCCATTGTAAGGTGAGTATGCACAATACCATATATATGTCAGTACAACGTTGATATACCATTAAAATCTTGAATTTTTGATTCTGAGGCCCAAAAGTACAGTTGTGTGTAGTTTTCCACTAAATTCCCTATAAGTTTCATTTGGAGATATGGAAGTTGTAAAACAGTTATAGTTATCAGTTAATCAGCAGGCATCTATTATCTGTTTTGCGGAGGCCTTTGTGTTAGGTGATAGGAATATTGATGACCTAAGGATACAACTTCTTGGCACTATCAAATGAACCCTACTAGTCATCTTCCGAGCAAGAATAGGGAAGACCCAAGACTGTAGCAAGATAAAATCCCATACTCTGGAACTTTTCTTTGATATAGTTTTCCAAGCTCCTTTGAGGCTTCCAAAACTGTACAATTCTATTAGGTGTACTACTTCTACAGGTCAAAGTGTGGGGTCAGTCACGTTAATCAGTGTTTGCATTTCTTTGTACTGATAATAACTGATATTATAGCACTTTTGAGGTTTGCAACTCCCTTAACTACATATATTACCTCAGTTCCTAGTTTCTGCAATAGGTAGACACATGAGGCAGAATGTGACTTTCCCAGTAGTAGTTGTAATAGTAATATAAATAATAGCACATATTTACATAGCGCTTTAAGGTTTACAAATTGCTTTCCTCAATAATAAAGAACTTTGCATATTGGGTCTGGTTTTTTAAATTTTTGTTGCAGTTCAAATATATGCTCTCAATACTTTAATTTTCTGATAACATAAATCAATTAAACCAGTACTTGGATTTGAATTCCATCCTGTAATTTTATTCCTTTTTTATTTTTTGTTTTTTTGCCTAGGCAATGGGGTTAAGTGACTTGCCCAGGGTCACACAGCTAGTAAGTGGCAAGTGTCTGAGACCAGATTTGAATTCAGGTCCTCCAGGTCTAGTGCTCTATCCACTGCACCACCTAGCTGCCCCTATGCCTTTCAATATTAAAAGAACTGTTTATACATGATGAAGATATATTTAATAACACCAAGTTATTTAGTTACTTTGAAATAATTGCTTTGGAGTTGAGTTTCCATGATCTTTGTCAAATAGATCAGATCAAGAAGGAGAACAGTATATTTGGTCTCTAATTTTAAGTAATAGAAAAGGATTCCAGCATTTTCCCTGTGTTTCCAGAATAAACCTCAGATGTTTAAGCAGAGTGCTACATACATTTTGTGATAGCATGTGTCATACCATGGATTGCTACCACATAATGAAAGTGTTTAGCTATCACATATACTCTCAGTGTTGGGACATCAGAAGCCATTCTAGTCCAAGCCAGATACAAAACCTGAATCTCTGTTAACATCCTTAACAGGGGGGTATCCAGTTTCAACTTGAAGACTATTCAAATTTGGAATAACTTTCTGAATCTGACTTTCCATAATTTCACTATTGGCTTGGATTCTGGGACCAGATAGAATAAGTCCAATCTTTATGTCTTATACCAGCCTTTCATATATTTGAAAACAGATAGCATATCCCACCCAGATTTTTTCTTTTCCAGCTAGACATTCCCAGTCCCTACAACAAATAGTATGGCTTCTACTCCTCTTACCATCCTGACTAATTTCTTATCAACATCCTCTAGTTTAGGGACTTCTTAACCTTTTTTAGTGTCATGGACCCCATTTAGCAGTCTGAAGAAGCCCATGGACCTCATTTTGGAATAATGTTTTTAAATATATAAAATATATAGGATTACAAAGGTTACTAAAAATAAAATCATGAATTTTTTTCCCTTCTAAATTCTAGAGCTCCCCTGAATTCTATCCATAGACTCCTTGTGGTTCTCTGGACCTTAGGTTAAAAACCTTTGCTTGTCAACATTTTTCTTAAATGCCACACCTGGATTCAAATATAATGCCTCTATTCCAGATGTTGTCTTATCGGGGCAGAGTACAGCAGGACTGGCATGGTTCCTGGCATATAAGCAGAAACATAAATAAACATGTACTATAACCTCCATCATTTTGCATACAGTGCTTATGCTAATGCAGCCAAAATCATTTTAACTTTGAGCTTGCAGTTCACTGAAATCCCAGGTTCTTTTCACATTAACAATTTTTTAGCAATAGCTCCCCCCTCCTATACTTGTGAAGTTTTGGTTTGTTTTTTTTTAACTCAAGTATAAAATTTTAAATTTAAATTTAAAAAGAGGCAACAAGTAGAGCAATGGATAGAGTGCTGATCCAGGAGTCAGGAAACCGAGTTCAGATGGTACCTCAGACATTTACTATAGAGGTGTGACCCTGTGCAAATCACTTAACCTTTCTGTGGTTCAGTGTCCTCGTATGAAAATGGAGATAATTTTAGCATCTGCTTCCAGGATTATTGTGAGATGACTTTAAAATACTTTGCAAACCTTATAGCACTATGTAAATGGTAGTTTTTATTACTATATCATAATTGGTCCATTGTTCTATCAAGACCATCCACTTGACAATACTTAGAAACAGAAGCACAACCATTCCTTGCACCTTTGATACATCTAGTACAGGGGTGGGGAACCTACAGCTTCAAGGCCACATGTGACCCTCTGGTTCCTCAAGTGTGACCCTTTGACTGAATCCAAACTTCACAGAACAGATCCCCTTAATTAAAGGATTTGCTCTGTAAAACTTGGACGCAGTCAAAAGACTGTACCCAAGGACCTAGAAGGCCACATCTGGCCTGGAGGCCGCAGCTTCCCTACCCCTGATCTAGTACAGTACCTTCCACGGAAGAGAAGGTTTATATGAAAGCAGCAGGTCTGACGTGTTGATATTACATAGTCACTGATTTGTGTGCTGGTGCTATGGTAGTCAGATTTTTATTGGGGATTAAAATGAAATTGTGCATTTTTGTTTTACAGAACATGACATCTGAGTACTTTGTTTCATTACCTTTCTGTGGGAAAATCTGTTTGTTTCATTGCAAAGGAAAATGGTCCCGGGTGGAGGTAAAATTAGGTTGTTTTATTTGCTTGATTCTCTTTGATTGATTATTGAGTTTGAGTTTATTCAGGATAACAAAAGTTTTAGATAAATTAAATCCTATTTGGCCTTTCTGTGAAGGTAAAATCAGTCTAATTTCATGAAATTGGTTAGTGTGGCATATGTACTGTTATTTAATATGAATATGTACCAAAAGTCTAAATCTTATATAATGGTTATATGCAGGTAGTCTCCAACTTAAAATATTTTAAAATCTCATTAGTAAATCACTTGTTTGGAATTAGAAGCATTTTTCTTTATAAAAATAGTACTATACATAATAAATAGTATCTTAGGCCAGCTTAGAAAAGCCTAATTAATCTATAATGTACCAGGCAGCTAGGTGAAACAGTAAGTAGAGCACTGAGCTTGGAACCAGGAAGACCTGAGTTCAAATCCTGCCTCAGACACTTACTTGGCTCCGTGACCCTGGGCAAGTCATTTAACCTCCATTTGCCTTAATAATAACACCTACTTCCCAGAGTTGGTGAGGATCAGATGGGATGATATTAACACAGAGCCTAGCACATAATGAGTGCTATGGAAATGTTAGCTATCATTATTTAATATTATTGCTATTGTTAAATTTATCACATGTATCATAAAACCAAACCACCAAAGAGAGTGGCTCACTTCCCTTTCTGTTTTTTTTTTTACTTTTTTTATTTATTTTTTTTATTTTTACTTTTTTCATTTTTTTTAATTCCCTTTCTGTTACTTCCACTTTTGCTTCCAACTAGGGTTTCCCTCCTTCTCTGATCCAATGTAGAACAGCCATTGTAGGTTTTCAACCTTTTAAAAAATGATTTACCAAAGGAAAACACTGAAGGATTAAAACATCTTTCTCCAAAATTCCCTTTCTCCCCTTTTATTTTTTAACTTTAACTTGGCAGAGAAAGACAGACATGTATAGGTACTAAATGGCAGATCTCTGTACACAAAGGACTGCAAAAGAGGCCTTTTGATATATTGGGAAAGAAAACTTGACTTTGATTCTTGGGTCCTGGGTTCCAGTTAGACAAGTCATTTAACCTTTCCAAGGGAGTTTACTCATTTATAAAATGATAGAGTTGGACTAGATGACTGGTCTTGAAGGTTCCTTCAGATCTAAATCTATGATCCTATGAAAGTCTTCATTTCAGAAGAAAACCATGCTCAGGCTATTCTTGGTATCCAGATGTACAATCACAGAAGCTGGCCTAGGGCAGGAATGAAGGCTAGAACCCTCTAGAGGAGATAAGGGTGGTGAGCAGAGATAATGGACAGCAGTGTTGGGGCTGGAGAAAGACAAAGTAATAGCCACTGAGATTTACCTTTCCTCCTTTCTTCCTCTTAACCACTTAAGTCCAGCTACCAGAGACCCTGCTCTGGATTGTTCTGTGGCAAGGAAAGAAGCAAGAACTCTGTGTATATGTGTTTGTGTTCCCATGTTATCAGTCAGTGGAGAGTAGAAGGAGAAGGAGGAAGGAAAGGAGATCCCACATGATAGTGTGGAAGGAAAGATGGGTCTTTCTTGCATTTGGTTTTCCAAATTGACTTCGTAAATTGATCCTTAATAAGTTGGAGATTGCCTGTTCTATTTGGTACATTTCAAAGAGATCTGACTGAGTGAATATAAAGCATGGAATTATTATTCAGTTGCCACAGCTCTTTACTCTGTAGCATATGCTGTGGAAATGCACAAGCACTCTGTTGAAATGTGCATTTTCAAATAGACTTGCATAGCTTTATATTATGATTTCATGTAAATAAGCATGTCTTTATATGATTGGTTATTTTGCAGTTTCGCTAATTTCTTGGGTACTACTAGTCTAATCCTAAACTATTTTTATATTTATATTTACAATTTTGGGTGCTCAGTATATTGTCTGTCTGAAGGCTAGAGAGTGGAGTCATTTATTGGAAGTATATGGAATGTGGGGAGAAAAAAATGCAAGGCATATGATTCCTGTGGTAAAAATTATTTATTTTTTTCTTGGAGCATCTTTCTTGAAAACTGTTAACTCTATAGCTTAAAGGAAATTTATGTCATTAGTAGATCCGTAAGTATAGATTGCTTTATTCAGTCATCATCTCATCATTAAGAGCTCCCTTAGGATGGGATCTAGCCATTGAAATGACATCATTGACTCTGATCCCTAAATAATTCCAAAGGTTTAGATTTGCTCCTGTTTGGAGCTTTGCTTCCAATAATGGGAGCTAAACTATTACCAGTGTTCAGTTTGTAAGCCCTAAGCTCCTCAGAGTTTTCCAGTAAGACAGCCAGTGAGCCAGAGTTCAAACCTTCAGTTCACAGTTTGATTATATTTCTGGGATGCAGTTTACGTGTCAGTATGTAACACTTCCAGATCATGCTAACCATCGGTTTCAAGTTTAATTTGATGGTCTAGTGAAGTAGAGGTGATATTCTGCTTCCATCCAACAGGGCCTTTTACCCATGGAGAGGAATATTAATGGATAAAAAGATACCATCCCTGCTGTAGAGCAAAGGGCAGTAGAACAGATGAACTAAGGGCATGTCACAGCATTAAAGTTATCCTCAAATGTGTAAGGTGCTAATCATAAGAGTGGGAAGAATTATTTCTAGGATAAAGCCCAAGTCTCCTGCCTGACACATAAGGCCAAATGAACTCTCCATTCCTGCCAGGCCAGTCTCTTCACTTTCACCTGAATATTCCGCGCTCATTCTTGCCTGTGCTCCTTTGCTTATACTGTTTCCTGCACCTAGCACATCTTCTTTCCTCTTTACCCATATTCAAATTCTTTCAAGACCCAGCTTCTCCGGGAAACTTTTCCTAGACATTCTAGCCCTACACTGATGCCTTCTTATAGCACCTATTGTCTGTTGTACCACTCATTTTGGCACTTAGTCGTATATTGCCTTGCGCTGCTTTTAATTGTTCCATATGTTTGTCTCATCTCCCCGTGAGAGTGTTGTTAGAACTGTGAGCACTCCCTAGAGGACCTAGCCCTCTGCCTGTGCTGCAGTTTCCAGGGGAGCCACAAAGGACTCTTAGTTCATCTTGAGATCCAGGAAATACGGACAACAAGGGAGCTGGTGCGGTGACATGCGGGGTATGTGCTATGTTTGTCTTCCTGCTTGCCTTCTTTCTTTCCTTCTTTCCTTCCAGCACATACCAATTGTGTGCTGCAAATGCAAGCTGCTCTCTGCCAGGGGGAAGGGTGAAAGGGCTTGAGGAATGCCTCTCTGCATCTCAGCTTAGTAGAGAGAAAGAAGGGTCCCTAGAAAGTATGGAAGAAATATTATAGGAAATTAGAAAGCAGGATTCCTGGGCATTAAAAAAAAAAAGGAAAAGAAAACAAGTGTCAAGATATTGGTTAATGGAAGATTGTGAGGAATAATTTTTTTTAAAAAAAGGGAAAACCCACACTCTATGGAACAATGTAATGGGATTCTTTCACCATGGAGGGTGATTTGTAATCTTTGGAAGAAGCAGCATCGCATACCCAGACACTGAAGAGGATCCTTGCAGGTGAGAGGACCCTGTTTACCAACCCCAAAAAGAATTATTGTGATGAATTGTGACTCCTTACTGAGGAGCTGAGATTTATTTAGCTAAATGTAAACCTAATGCAGCTAATTAGGAAATGTGCTTCATTTCTGAAGTGTGATAAAGAGCCTGCCTAAAGGGTGATGAAGACTTCCCCATCACTACCCATTTCTGTTGGTTCGTATAGAAACACACAGTACAACAAAAGGAACCTAGAAGGTGTTGCTAGTGACATTATAGTCCAGGGTAGGAAAACAGAAAGATGTGATACATACATATATACATACACGCATACCCACGTGCACATGGTATTTGTGTACACATCTCTCCAGATGGCATTTCCATTTCTCCTGGTGAATGAAGATCATTAATTCAACAAACATTCACCGAGTGTCCTCTTTGGAGCTGGGTGTTATAAGGACCCAAATATAAATGATGGTCTTTGCCCCCAAAGATCTTACGGTTTAGTAAAGTCTACAAAACATATCTATAACCAACTCTAATGCCAAGGAGAATGTGATGTGACACCATAGAAGTATAAAAGTACTAGAAAAATTCAGAAGAGAGAAGGGTTCGTTCTCCCTGGAGAGGATCAGAGAAAATAAAACAAAGATGGTGGCCATTGAGATTTGTTCCTTGAAAGAAGTGTGAGATTTGGACTGGATGGAGGAAAGGGACATTGCAGGTAAAGGAGGAAGAGTGTGAGCAAGAAGATTAAGATGGGAAAACATGAGATGAATTCAGGGAACAATGTGCTAGTCATCTAGTTTGCCTGAAATATGAAGTTAATGAAGGAAGATAGATTTGAGTCAGACCACAGACAGCTTCTGTTCAGTAGACAAAGGGGAACTATCAGGAGCTTTGACTTCAGATGAGGAAATAAGGATGAGGAAAGATGATGTCAACAAGATTTAGTTTTCTGGACCATAGCTTGTAATACTGAACAGAAGGCCCCTATCAGAGAACCGTGTGTGTGTGTGTGTGTGTGTGTGTGTGTGTGTGTGTGTGTGTATGCACATACACATATACATCTATATATGTATGTATGTATGTATATATATATATATATATATATATATACATATACATATACATATATATATGTGTATATCAGTATCATAAAAACTGAAAACAGTTTGTTTGGAAGGAAACTCCCTGACCCAGTTGAAAAGGGGGAGGTAGATTAAATGGAAATTTGAGGAAGAAGGAGTAAAATGCCCTAAAATAAAATATGCATAATGGAATTGCTTAATATGAGTTGAAAAACAATAAAACTTTTAAAAGCCTCAAAAGAGAAAGAAGTATCCAGCATCTCTAAAGTGAAAATAACAGACTGGGCACCTTCTATTGTGAATATGCCAGTAATACAAAGTAGAAGTTGCACAGAAAATAAACTTGAAACTGTAACACCAAGAGGTAAAGATGGACACCTCAATATAACAGAACTCATGTAG